TTAACTATTGAAAAAGGTGTTAATATAAAAAATATTGAAAAGACGCCTATTCATGTGTATCTTTCATCAAAAGCAAAAAATGGTTATTTAGTAATCATGGCCTCCATTCGAGAATTAAATTTCGGAGTTGAATGGGAAATTATGCATATGACTGATGCATGAAATGACCAAAACCTAGAGGAGGATTTACTGTGCATTCTAACTAATAACGCTTTCGATTAAATTGGTAGAGCGCTGCACTAGTATCGCAGAGGTCAGTGGTTCGAGTCCCGTACAGGCCTGATTTTTTTCAGGTCTGCTTTTCGCTACTGCATAAATAGCGCTATCTACTGCGAGGATCGCACATCACACGTATCTAATACCGCAGTTCAAAATATATGAACTTCATATATTCATTGCATCTCAGAAAAATAAAGGTAAGATAACTGACCAGGAAAAGCAGGAAGCCTTGATGAAGCTTTAAAAAAGTTCATCAACGACTTTTGTACTTAGAAGCGCGTTACAATGGAGAAAGAGTTTCCTTTTTCTAAAGAATTACTTTGTTTGGAGTAACCCTTAAAAGTGTGGAGACTGTGGGGAATAAACCTTTGTTTTGCGAGAGGCAGCTACAATTTCTCACGTAGAAACGTGCTTATAAACACAATGTACTTAACATCACTGACAGCATTAGAGTATAACGAGAAAGTACTGATGATAAGACAACAAATGATGCGTTTAAAACTCTTACCAAAAAAAAAAATAGTTTTAAGAAATGTGTTTATGGAGAAAGTGAAAAAAGAAAACAAAAACAAAAGAAAATCGACCAACAAAGCAGGAAAAAAAAACAAATAAAGCATAAATTATATAGTACCTCTGTGGGGCATATTGCAAACACAATTACCTCTGTCTCTTTTGAAGATCCCGTAAAATGATCTCTCCTATTCAACAGCTTGAATAGGAGATCTAAACAAGATCCCGTACTGATCGGCAACTTTTTCGGTTTCGTTGTTAACTAAGTTAAATATAAAATATTAATGAACGCTGATAACTTCCAGGGCTATATTATTTTCTGAAATTTCGCATGACATTTTCCTATACTTCGTTTCTTGAAACATTTCTGATTAAAATTGTCTACTTTAATATTTTAGTGAATCAAAATAAATCAAAACTCCGGCTTAAAAGATTTTTTGGTTTTAAATAAACTGTAAATCTCATAAACCAAAGTCAACAAATTTTCGATATAAATTATTGATGACTGTGCAGCTTAAATTATACGTCGTGCATCAGTCGAAATGATTGATGACTCGACACTGCACCCACAAAGTATTCGATGGATTTTCGTTAACTGTTTCCAATAAAGACATCTAATGCAGCGAGGTCGTTTGAATAACCCTTAATCATTTCGACGAGGACGTCATTTCACAACACATTCTGAAAATGATTCTAATCTCATTGCTCCACGTCATTTCCTTTGCAGTCGCCTTAGCTTCCTCTAAACCTGCAGGTAAGGAACTCATATCGTCTTTTCCTACCATTTTGAGTGTTTTCTTGTTTTCGTTCTTTTAAGTTTTCTGGTGGATTTAATTCAACAGACTATTCAAACTTTTTAGGATTTTCTTTGACCTCGCAAAGTGGAGTTACACTTATTTTTTGACTGCTTACTTGTTAGTGCGCTAATAACTCGGATCTCTCCTATTTTTTAGATTATTTTAACGAAGTCTTGATTTCGCGATTCCAGCGTTTTCACACTAATTTCAAACTTACAATCCCTCAAGTGAACATAACGAGGAAGATCATCTTCATGAAACCAAATACCTTTGTGTGAAAGCTTTTTTCAAAAATTTTGTACCTTCAGGCTTTTAGTGAATGTGCAGAAAGTAAAATATCAGTGAAAAACTAACACTTTAATCACAAATAACACACTGTTACCAGCCAAATAGACGTACATAGTTTCTCTTTGAAGGAATGCATCGTGACGCAATAGGATGATGCAGGTCAAGAACCATCACGCGTCTAGATTTACCTTTCGGTAAATTCTTATTAATATTAGTCAATTCAGAAACAAAGTAGAGTCAGCCACGATCAGTATATAAGCCCATCCTGTTGAAGCTTGTCCTGATTCCCTAGCATGAAGCGACTAGATGTACTACTAATTACTCCCGCGCAAGATGCGAATTCATCGAAGGGTTTAACACCAAGCATTCCGTCGACCTTTTGTTAATCCGATTAGAGAGAAGTATATATTATCGCCGTCGCTTTGATCTTAGCTAGATCAAGTCAAAAGTATTTTACCTCACAACTTTTCAGGTATTTTTATCCTTTTTTTTTGGTAGAACCCTGCCGCATCATTCAATTCGTGCATAAAATAGATGGACAGGCTCTTGAAGGTCATACAATTGCAACTATTAAGTCAAATAAAGTTAAATTTTGTGAGGTGCAGTGTTTCCTTAATCATGATTGCGTCTCTTACAACTTTGGGCCAAGTGAAGACAGCTATGACACATATCTATGTGAACTGAATAATTCAACGGATAAAAAAAGATTGACACCTAAGGCGATGTACATATACAGAGAATCAAAGGTAGGCTACCATTCTGTCTTGATGTGGGCATTAAATTTTCAGGCTAAACCTTCATTCCAAAGGCCTTGTTAATTCATTTTTGTTCTTCTTTCGTATAGTCTTTATTTAACTCATTTTTTATTAATTCATCTTCTATCTATTTCATTATTGAACTAATTTATCTTTATCATCATATCTTTTTACCTTACCTTATCTTTATCATCATATCTTTTTATCTTACCGACATAGGTAGGACTCCTGCCGGTCAAGTCCTTGTTTAAACAATGGCAAATGCCAGTACGGTTTCACAGACAAAAATTTCCGCTGTCTATGTTCAGTTGGCTTTACTGGAGAATTGTGCGAAAGGAGTAAGTAGAAATAAAATATTTCGATCAGCTCACCATCGTCAGTGTGCCGTCACATATCAACATAAGACGCGTTTCTCTGGGCATTTTTTGTTAACCGTAGGGACCCCATAAGTTCTTTTACAACTGTTTGGGTTTTTTTAACTTTCCGGCACTTCGCCCTAACCATGGGCTTTAAAGAAGCTAATGAACAAACCGTGAGCACCAAAGGCTCGAAGCTTCTCACAAAGCAAGCGTTATATGCTTCTTGTCAAACGTCTAATATCGGGATCAGGACACTGCCAAATCACTTGAAGAGGTAAAACATAAACAGTCAAACACTTTGTGCCGACAAATCAGCCCCTTAGCACATGAATATCTTTGCATCCAAGATATGAAGCTCTTGAGAACATTTAATTTGTACTCAGGCGACTAAAAAAGCTCTCATAAATTATCGTCTGAATCGTCTGCGATCACGAGGTTACAGCCACCAAACTTAATCCTTAGTTGGGCTTTATTTCTGTCATGCGACAAAAATTCTGACACTAGGGAGAAGTTTCTGAAATGTTGTGGTAAAGAATGATTGGGCCTACTTTGGAACTACATGTGAATAAAACTCGCCATATTTGGGCTTTATTTCTGTCTTGCGACAAAACTTCTGACACTCGAAAGAAGTTTCTGAAATGTGGTGGTAAAGAATGATTGGGCCCACTTAGGAAGTGAAGTACACGCGAGTAAGCCTCGCAATAAGGGACTGGCTATTTCCTTCCGGGGGTCCTGAAAAAAGAAACAATACGACAATAACATAACAGGGATCGCCCGAATAGGGAATATTTTTGAAAAAAATGAGAAAAGATATGATACAACTCCAAAACATAGCTGTCAACAAAGACAGAAGAGTTCGCGAAGGCACTAGCCCTCTAGCATTATGCTTTGAACAATGGAGTTTCTAGTCAATATGAAGATGTAACATATTCTGGTAAGCAAAACGATCAGAGCAACAGAGACAGATAAACGTAGTTTGATGCTACTCTGGTTTAAAGATCTAATGAATATAACCGGGGAAATTACAATTCATCGGCCCAACGTTTCGACACTCCTGTCTAGTGCCTTCATCAGGGATGATCTGACCGTTGCAACAAGAGGCCCCTCTATATGCTCACCATGTAGCTGCCCTTTTTTGTGACAAGGTGTAAGTAGGCGTCAGGTAGTAAGCCGCCGTCATCACGATTTAAAGGAGCGAGAGCGCAGTTACCACGCCAAGCTTCCAAACAAAGGCGCTGGAGGTAGCCAGCGCCTTTCTTGGGAGGCATGGCATATCAACTCCACCCACGCTTTTTTAAATCGCGATGATGGTCGCTTACTAACTGACGCCTATTTTAAGGAAAAAAGGACAGCTAGTTGGTGAGCATATAAAAGGGCCCCTTGTTGCAACGATCAAATCATCCCTGATGAAGGCACTAGACAGGAGTGTCCAAACATAGGATCGATGAATTGTAATTCCCCGGTTACATTAATTAAACTGTTTAAACCGGAGTAACATCAACCTATGTCTGATTGTCTGCCTGGTTGCTGTGTGAACATTAAAATGTCTTAGAGACAGAGTTTTCCACAAAACCTCGCTAAAATCATTTTGAAAATTGCAAAGAATAAAACTCTCGTTTGTATTCTATAATGCTCTGTCTAACATCATGAGAAGATCCAAGAAAGACCAAATCTTGTAGCTCTTCAGAACTTGTTGAAACCAGCGAAAAAATCTGTGAGAATGAAGTAAGTTCAAACGATTAGACGAGAAAGTGCTAAGATACTTTCCTATTCTCTATTAATTAACAACGTCAGAGCCGTTGCGAAAGGTGGCTTTGACGTGTACTAATTTTAATAGATAAGTTTTATATACTTCAGACATAGATGAGTGCGCCAGCACACCCTGCAAGAACGGAGGATCTTGTACAGATCAGATTAACGGATACAGTTGTAGTTGCCAACCAGGATTTTATGGAAGTTATTGTGAGACAGGTAATTCAAAACAGTTGTTTTCATTTACGAGCCGCGTTTACCAAGTCACAATTTTAGCCATTATCGTCAAATGACAAGACGTCCAAGCCCTTCAAAAAGCAGAGATTAAGAGTTGATGCTATAGCCTATTCCACGTTTCGCTGAAAGTCTATATAAAATGGTAGGGAGAAAAGCCTTGGTTTGCGTACTATTTTCTCATCGACGTAAGTTACAGAGTTGAAAAACTCCATACCAAAAATAGATAGAATTAGGATTTGAGTGGGACGATAAAAAGAAAAGACGACTTCGAGATTTGAGTGTCAGTGAAGTATTTTACAATGAAAAAACTATCTCTTGACTTATGAAGCGCGAAAACCGCAGATAGCTTTATCTTAGTCCGAAAGCCCATGGTAAGTGCTATAAACTTGTAACAGTGATGACAAAATTTATCACCACAGCAAAACCATGTTGCTTTTCTTCTCATTATCTCTCTCTTATATTTGAAGACATTGATGAGTGCAGCGATGACGTACATAATTGCGATGTTAATGCGGACTGTACCAATACTGAGGGTTCTCACAATTGCACCTGCAAGAAAGGATACATTGGAGATGGAAAGTCGTGCCAAGGTACATTAGACCAGCCCTAGATGATTCAGAATCTGAACAGGTTTCGTCCCTATTAAGATGGCTCTCGTATATACTTTGTGTTTACAGATATCGATGAGTGTAAAGATAGTGACCATGCTTGTGATGCTAATGCGAACTGTACCAATGCCAATGGATCCCATTATTGTACCTGTAAGGAAAGATATACTGGGAATGGACAATCATGCCAAGGTGCTTTAGATTAGACTTAGCTATCAATCGAAACAACTCTTCACTTTAGCTTATTGGGTGTCCCCAATTAGTGCTTACAGGCACTAGAACGACTAGACACGTTAATAAAGGTTATGTATGTATGTATGTATGTATATATGTATGTATGTATGTATGTATGTATGTATACCTTAGTGACTCAGAATCTGAACAGCTTTTATTGCTTTTATCAAGATGCACCTATAAATAGTTTTTGTTCACAGATATTGATGAGTGCAAAGATGGCAGCCATGTGCGTGATATTAATGCAAACTGTACCAATACTGAGGGTTCTCGCAATTGCACCTGTAAGGAAGGATACAATGGAGATGGAAAGTCATGCCAAGGTACATCAGATCAGCCTTAGCAGCAAGCAAAACATCTTTTCGCATAAGCTAATGCCTTGATAACTCAGAATTACAACAGATTTTCTCTCTAATTAAGATGCTTCTCGTATATACTTTGTGTTTACAGATATCGATGAATGTAAAGATGATGACCATGCTTGTGATGCTAATGCCAACTGTATCAACACCGATGGATCCCATCATTGTATCTGTAAGGAAAGATATACTGGGAGTGGAGAATCATGCCAAGGTACTTTAGATTAGACTTAGCTATTAATCGAAACAACTCTTCACTTTAGCTTATACCTTAGTGACTCAGAATCTGAACAGCTTTTATTGTATTTATCAAGATGCACCAATAAATAATTTTTGTTCACAGATATTGATGAGTGCAAAGATGGCAGCCATGTGTGTAATATGAATGCAAACTGTACCAATTCTGAGAGTTCGCACAGTTGTAACTGTAAGGAAGGATATATTGGAGATGGAAAGTCATGCCAAGGTACATTAGATCATCCTTAGAAGCAAGCAAAACATCTTTTCGCATAAGCTAATGCCTTGATAAATTAGAATTTGAACAGAATTTGTCCCTATTTAAGATACTTCTCGTACATAATTTATGTTTACAAACATCGATGAATGTAAAGATGGTAGCCATGCCTGTGATGCTAATGCAAACTGAAGGAACACCAATGGATCCCATCACTGCACCTGTAAGGAAAGATATACTGGTGATGGACAATCATGCCAAGGTACCTTAGATTAGACTTAGGTACCAATCGAAACAACTCTCCACTTTAGCTTATGCCCTAGTGACTCAGACTCTGAACAGCTTTTATGGTTTCTATTAAGATGCACTAGATAATTATTGTTTACAGATATTAATGAGTGCAAAGAGGGCAGCCATGTGTGTGATGTTAATGCAAACTGTACCAATACCGAGGGTTCTCACAATTGTAACTGTAAGGAAGGATACATTGGAGATGGAAATTCATGCCAAGGTAACCTTAGATCAGCCTTAGCAGCAAGCAAAACATCTTTTCACATAAGCTTGTGCCTTGATAACTCAGAATCTCGATCGATTTTTGTCTTCATTACAATACTTTTCGTTCATCATTTATGTTCATAGACATTAATGAGTGCAAAGATGGCAGCCATATATGTGGTGTTAATGCAAACTGTACCAATACTGTGGGTTCTCACAGTTGCACCTGCAAGAAAGGGTACATTGGCAATGGAAGGTCATGCCAAGGTACATTAGATCAGCCTTAGTAGCAAGCAAAACATCTTTTCACATTAGCTAGTGCCTTGATAACTCAGAATTTCGATAGATTTTTGTCTTCATTACAATACTTCTCGTTTATCATTTATGTTCATAGACATTAATGAGGAGGCAGTGTGGCCGAGTGGTTAGAGTGTCAGACTCGTAATCCGCCGCTCCCGGGTTCGAGTCCCACCCTGACCACTAGATTTGTTTCACGGTAGCCCCGTGTTCATATCCTTGGCCACGCTTGTAAATAGCCAACTGGTTTGTCTCCGGCCGGTTGGGGTTCTTAATGATGTTCTTAGTGACGTTATGTTCAATTTAGAACATTTGTTTCATTTGTTTGCAAGGACCACAATGGAAACTACTGGTTCACCAGTAATTGTGTCATCATATAAAAAGACTTTTTTTTTTTTTAATGACTCAGAATCTGAACAGATTTTGTCTCTATTAAGATGCTTCTCGCATATAACTTATGTTTACAGATATCGATGAATGTAAAGATGGTAGCCATGCTTGTGATGGCAATGCGAACTGTACCAACACCAATGGATCCCATCATTGCAGCTGTAAGGAAGGATACAATGGTGATGGGCAATCATGCCAAGGTAAATAAGACCAGCCTTAGCATTTAACTATACCATATTTTCACATCAGCTAATATCCTGCTGACTCGGGATATGAACAATTTTTCTTCTCTTTCAATAAGTCTCCTGTTTAATTACAATTTTTTTTCACAGACATTAATGAGTGCATAGATGGCGACCTTGAGTGTGATGTTAATGCAAACTGTACCAATACTGAGGGTTCTCACAATTGTAACTGTAAGGAAGGATACATTGGAGATGGAAAGTCATGCCAAGGTGTTATGTATTGAGACACAACATTTTAGTTCGGTGGTTGAACTCAATGATATTTTATTACCCATGAATCCCATGACTTATTACGTCATATATGTCATACACATCATTCCCCCACACTAAAACTTGAACTAACAGGTTTAACAACAAAGCCATATAACTGAAAGAGCCAAACAACTAAATGTTCATAGTCATTTGATTTATCATCAAGGGTTCTGTTCTGGGATAACTTGTGATGAATTGACATCAGGAGTATCAACTGTCGAAGGCGTATCTGTCTGTTACTCTAGGTAGTTCTCTTCAGAAACCTGTGGTTCAGTGGTTGTCATGGTAACAGGAGTACTTGGTAGTTCAGATCTTCTTAACTGATCGAGATGACGACGCCAAGTTGAAGTACTAACTTGTACTTGGTATGATACTGGACCGGTTTGCTTTCATACGATACTTTTGGACCAGAGATTACCTCTTCCATAATTTCTGGCTAGAACAGGTGTACCAATGTTGAAATGACGCATTTGTTTGGATGGTGGTGCTGCGACAAAAGACTTTTCAACTGCACGGGTTATGTCTGGTTTTAAAAGATCCAGACGACAGCGTAAAGGGTGTCCCATCAGCATGACAGCTGAAGAATTACCAGTTGTAGTCTGTGGACAATTGCGGTACTTCATAAGGAAAGTGTCAAGTTTGTACCTGAGACTTGCATTGCTTTTGTCACTCTTCAAAGCTTCCTTCATTGTCCTTACAAAGCGTTCAGCCAATCCATTTGTTCTTGGATGGTAAGGGGCTGGAGTAAGATGCTGTATTCCATTCATCTTTAGAAAGGTTTCAAATTCTTCTGACCTGAGTTGTTAGCCATTGTCAGAAACAATTTGAGTTGGCATGGTTCTCAGCACTTCAATTGTTTTGGAAGATGTTGTTGATGACATGATGTGAACTTCTGGCCATTTTGAGTGTGCGTCGACTGCTACAAGAAACATAGAGTTCATAAAGGTTCCTGCAAATTCTATGTGGACTCAGTACCAGGGTTTTTCTGGAAATTCCCATCTATGTACTGGAGCAGCAGGAGGATTGTTTTGTGTAAGTGCACAACCTTCGCAGGTTCTGCATGTGCTTTGAATTTGAGAACCCAAGCCGGGCCACTAGAAATAGCTCCAGGCTAATCCCTTCATTTTCACAATTCCGATGTGGCCTTCATGTAACTCCTCGTGAACGCGTTGTTGGAGTTTTGATGGAACAATTACTCGTCCTTCCCACAACATATATCCATCATAGACGGCCAGTTCTTCTTTTTTGTGGAAACAAGGTAGGAGGTCTGGATGTAACTGTTGTTTTGCAAGCCACCCAGACATTACAGCTTGGATCACTTTGGCAAGAATAGGATTACTTCTGGTCTCCTTCCTCAATTCTTTCACTGTGACAGGTAGTCTGTCGATTTGATTTAAGTGGAAGATGTCTGCTGCATCTTCACGGTTTTCGTCTTCTTTAGTGCAATTCAAGGGCAGTCTAGACAGTCCGTCTTCATTTGCATGAGTCTTAATGTTTTTATACTCTATTTGATATGAGAATCCACTAAGGAATAGAGCCCAGTGTTGAATACCATTAATTTCACTTTTGTAAACGCTGCTTTTTGTTCCTTTTTCCAGTGCCAGGGATTGTCCTATTTCAATAAGGAATGTAGTGGTTGCAGCTCTGTTTTAAGGTTTGGCAGAGATTTATGATAGTAATTCACAAATCCAAGCCATGATCTCAGCTGATTTACATTCTGTGGGCTGGGGACATTCACAACCGCTTCAATTTTCTTCTGAGGTTTACACAGACCATCTTTGTTGATCACATGTCCACAATATTCAATTTCATTCTTCATGAATTCACATTTGGTTTTATTCAGCCTCAGTCCTACACCTTCTAGACGGGTCAAAACTTTGTCAAGATTTTGACAATGTTCCTGATCATTTCTTCCAGTGACAATTATGTCATCAATATAGCACTGAGTGCCAGGAGTACCTTGGAGAACGTGATCCATTGCCTTTTGCCATAGAGCAGGTGCTGATGCTATTCCATAGACTAACCGTTTGTACTGGTAAAGTCCTTGGTGAGTATTCACTGTGAGAAGTGGACGACATTTTTCTGCAACTTCCATTTGTAGGTAGGCGTGACTTAGGTCTAACTTTGAGAACTTTTCGCAGCCAGCAATATTAGTGAATACTTCATTAATACGAGGTAAAGGATACTTGTCGACCTCTAACTCAGGATTAACAGTTACTTTAAAGTCCCCGGATATCCTTACTCCTCCATTAGGCTTGTCAACAGCGACAATAGGTGCAGCCCATTCGCTGTACTGCACTTTCTCGGTGATTCCTTGAGATTCTAGCAGGTTAAGCTTTTCACTTATCTTTTACTTCTTTGCAAAAGGGACAGGTCTAGCCTTGTGAAAGACTGGCGTTGCTCCGACCTTTAGGTTGAGTTTAGCCTCAATTCCATTGAACTTTCCAAGTTGACCATTGAAGAGACTTTCATGATGCTGAAGTACTTGTCTAATGTTGATTGGTGTAGACATTTTGTGAATTTGTTGCCAGTTGAGTTGGATGGCTTTCAACCATTCACGTCCAAATAAGGGTGGCAAATTAGTTTTGATGACATACAAGTGTAAGTGACTGACTTCCATCTTGGACTTCTACGTCCACATATCCAAGAGGCTTGATTTCCTCTTTTGTGTAGGTCACAAAGGTGAGAGGTGATTGCTTTAATGGCAGATTTGAGAATTTATCCCTGTACAGGTTTTCGCCTCTGATAGACTTTTCAGAGCCGGTTGTCAATTTCCATACAAACTGGTTGGTTTTCAATTTCAATTTCTATCGTGATGGGGCTTTCTGATCCACCTTGGATGTTGTACAGGTAAGAGTAGTCATAAAATTCTTCTTTTGTGTTTTCTTCAGAGTCTGAGAGCTTTTCCTCGACTGCATGAACTTGAGATTTCTTTGAAGACTTACAAACAGGTGCAATGTGTCCTTGTTTGTTACATTTATGGCGTATAGCACTCTTGAATTTGCATTGTTCTGCAGAATGGTTTCTTTTTCCACAGTGTTTACAATTTGTTTCTCCATGAGGGTTGTCTTCTTTATTTGTTTTCGGTTTTGGCGACTTTGAAGGTGTGCCTTTCATTCGATGAACTTCGTTGGTTGGAACCAGGCCTCTAGCTTTCGCGAGCTCTGCGACGTCTTTGTTCGCTGCTTCGTCGGCGATCGCTACTTTAATGGCTTTTTCTAGGGTTAAACCACTTTCCACCAACAGCCTCTTTTAGGTATTTCGATCTTTGATTCCACACACCAGTCGGTCACGAATCATATCATTCAGCTTGTCTCCGAAATTACATTACCTTGCCAACTTTTTCAGACGAGACACGAATTGCGCAATAGTTTCTGACTCTTGCATGGCGGTGTAGAACCTAAATCTTTCGGCTATTTCAACCCTTTTCTCGGCGAAACGTTCCTCAAGAATGTTAGAAATTTCATCTAGAGACTTATCCTTGGGCTTTTCCGGGTAAACAAGGTTTCGTAGAATGCCATACGTCGATGGACCTATTACCGCGAGTAAACATGCCACTTGTCGCTCTGGCGCGATGTTGTTGATTACGGTGAATTGCTCGAATCTTTCGAAGTAGCACTCCCAATTTTCTTTGTTTGGTTCGAAATTATCCAGTTGGCCAACAGTTGTGGTCATTTGTGTTGGAATTTGTGGTGTAGATCCACCAGGTTGATCGGATTCCGGCATTTTCCTGTATCGGTCGAAGAGCACGTGGCTGTTGTAAACGATGACTGAACTATTTTAAGAGTGATTTGACCGGATTCCGTAGAAATTTGGACGACTTGATTAGAAAATTTACTTCCTATTTCCGAAGGAATGAATTTTAAAAACCAATTTAGGCATTTAGGCATCAAAATCCTCGTCGCCAAGTATGTTATGTATTGAGACACAACATTCTAGTTCGGTGGTTGAACTCAATGATAATTTATTACCCATGATCCCATGACTCATTACGTCATATATGTCATACACATCACAAGGTAACCTTGGATCAGCCTTAGCAGCAAGCAAAGCGACTTTTCACACTAGCTGTTCCTTGACGACTCAGAATCTAAACAGGTTTTCATCTGTATTAAGATTTTTCTCGTAAATAATTTGTGTTCACAGATTTCGATGAATGTGACATTGTAATGTTAATGCGAACTGTACCAACACTAATGGTTCTTATCATTGCACCTGTAAGGAAGGATACACTGGAGATGGACAGTCATGCCAAGGTACCTTAAATCAGCCTCTAGATTCAAGCAAAGCAATTTTTCCCAATATCAGTATGTTATGGTATAATTTAACCGAAAGAGAAAATGCTACACTCCTATAAAACCAACTTATTTGTTAAGCAATGAGAAATAACTTTTTCTGAGGAGCGACTTCTATTGGCAGTACAATTTTAATCCTTCAAAACCTTACTTGGACATACTGCAGACTTTAACTGTTAATCACCAGCGCAAACTCACTGTTGTCTCCAAAACTCTTTGAAATCCACAACCTTCGAGGTATTTCCCACTTTCTGTAGCTCTCTCATAGTATGTCTTTCCAGATAGTCGGTTTTTGCAGACAACGGAAAAAACTACCCCTAGATGACTGAGTTTTTTATGTACAACTACAACATACTCTGGAACATATTAGAAGCTTAAAACACAACTATTGTGGTAAAATTTCATCATTATTACATAGCCTAATAGATTTTTCCAGAACGTTCCGCGCACTTTGTCATTAGAAAGTTCGAGTATCCATATCGCCGGGACTAAGCATTCTAGAAAATTTACAGTCACTATCTATAAAAAATGGGCTTCGTGACTACGCTCATGTCCGAGTGAAAACTGAATTGCATTCCCATCCAAATTTTGCATATTCATTAAACTATGGTTTATGCATTACTCGTGCTCCCAGATATCGATGAATGCAGCGATGAATACCAAGGTTGTGACGTAAATGCGAACTGTACCAACACTGATGGTTCTCACAACTGTACCTGTAAGGAAGGATACATTGGGGACGGACAGTCATGTCAAGGTATTTTAGATTTGATGTATCATCAAACAAAGTTAGTTTTATCAATAGCCTACTCTTTGATTGCAAAGCAAGGACAGATGGATTATCAATGATATCTTTAGACACAGGGAGGGAACGAAGTAAAAGAATGTAGAATATTCATAGGAAGAAATTCTATTAGCATGTTGAATTAGTGGAAAGTAGTAGTTTTTTTAACCAATCATAATCAGGGACAATGTATTTTCATTATTAATGGGTCATGTGGGAATGGACACTCGGGTAGAATGCTCAAGTAGAGACCTCTGAGACATATCGAGGTGCAATGTTTGTTTCTCATTCGCATAAAAAACACGGGAGATTTTCGAAAGAACCGTGACCAGCCTAACTTAAACGAAGTCTTGCTCTTGATTTTACACTATTCACAAAAAATGCTGTCCGTACGATTTGGCTTGCGTCGCTCGGATTTACAGATATATCTCTCAGCGAACTATTTGTTTATTGAAATGCAATCTGCCAAAAAGTGTTTTTTTTTCAAATGACGGGAATGAAGGAGTGGAAAGTTTAATCCACAGCAACGATGGAAGCGATTTCGTCCAGCCATTTTGGTAGTCGACCACAGCGAGATCAGGCTCTAGCATGGCTTCAATCTCCCTAGCCATCAGCCATCTTGCATATAAGTTATGATCGTAACAATGATGATTAAATTTACTTGAATTTCATGATTTAACCTCGTAGT